CATTGTGTGAGGGCGTGAGGAGAATACGGTGGCCCTAGTGGCTTTTTGGGGAGCATTGTGCCTCCACACCGCTCCAACGGAGATGTACTTCCCCTCAAAGGGAAGGAACTTCAGTAACACATCCTCGTCTTCATCGGTTCCACTCTTGGTTATCTCTTACCTTTACTTGTTCAAGTTTTATTGTGGTCTATCCCTTGCTTGCTTGTGTGCTTATTGTTGTTGCATCATATAGGTTGCTCACCTAGTTGCATATCTAGACAACCTACTTTGATGCAAAGTTTAATTTGGTAAAGAAAAGCTAAAAATTGTTAGTTGTCTATTCAGCCCCCCCCCCTCTAGCCAACTATATCGATCCTTTCAGAGACCCCGGCGTCCGCGGCACCAAAATAGTGCCTCCAAGGAGATAAAAGATGCCACACGCGGTCACTATCCGGTTTGGCAAGTCAAACTAGAGATTTCCCTTGGAGCTCGAAGGGACCACCACCATGACGATGCCCTCCAAGGAGGTTAGCGACACCCGCAAACGTCGCCGCATCATCCGCAATGGTAGCTCCATGCAGGGGATTTCTCCCCGATGGTAGTCCCGCGAACCAGGAGATCTGGAGGCTTATGCTCATGTCAGAGACGCCCGAGATCTGGAGACATATGATCATGTCAGAGACGCCCACCAACGCAGAAGGAAGGACCGCACGAGGGCAGACAAATCCAGGCACGTGACCTAGTTCTATCCAACCTAAGCCAACCCATGGTGTCACCGTCGGCTGGAAGAAGATACGGGGGCACCTGCCATAGATCCGCCTCCACCACCTATGACTCGTCACGGCCGACCCATGCCACCCACGACCCTCGCCGCAAGAGACTGTCGTCCGCCGGATCTCGCCGGCACCACCCCGCTGCCACAACCGATCCCGCGTGAACCACCCACATGCATGGGCATCAACACACTCGCGGCGCCCACGCGCCATCGTGTCACGGTTCTCGAAGCCCGCACCGCGCCCAGGAGAAAGGGAGCCGCCCCGTGCTGGCCCCTACCCATGCAGGGGCGAGGATGCCCCGCCGCTGCCGGCTCTGGTTGAGCTTTGCCCGGCCTTTCCCTGTGGCGGCGGCGAGAGGGGAGGAGGGAGGTGAGGGAAAGGGCTGATGGCGGCGATTTAGGGTTCCTCCTCCTGTATGTGTGGGTGCGACATGGGAGGAGACGTTCTTATTTTTATTTTTATGAATGGAGTTTTATGGGGCTGACTTAAAAATATGGTACTCCCTCCGTCTCTTTATGTAGTAGAAGAGAATGCAAATATAGCGCTAAAGGGATAATTTTTCACGAACACACAAAGCTTGCGTATCTTTCCAGTGATAGAAGGAGTAGAATGAGTACATCGAGGAATACAGCACATGACACGAACACAGGCAGACATGAACTTGGTGCTCGGAGCAGTGAGAAGGGATGCTCGGCCTGAATAGAGAATAGAACACAGCTAAATCTACCAAACCTAAAACCAAGAGTGGCCAAGTCGAACCAGTCAGAACTCCAACATCACCCGAGCCAATACGACGGACACCGCGAGCAAGTAAGATAGCGCCTTCAAGAACGAAAACGACGCCGAGACGCCGTCGCCATCCGGTCCGGAGGAACCAGACCTAGGGTTTCCCCTGAGCTCGAAGAGGGGCGCAGCTGAAGGCCTTGACAACGCCTCCAAGAAGAAAACGACACCCGTAGGCGCCGCTGTTGCCAGCACCGGCAAGCCGCGCTGAAGGGATAATGACAACCTTTATTTTGGAAAGGTGATGACCCCTCTACGTGATATAAGCAGTAGCAGTTGAAGATTCAGATTGACACGGCCTATTGGCATACGTACATGTTTATTGTTTTATGCTTGAAGACAGGGTAAAATGAACGATTCAGATTGACATTGTGGCCTGCACTGACTAGTTCCTGATGACAAGGTAAAATGAACGATGAATGACATATTTGAAAATGACCACACTCACACGGGAATTGGTCGGACGGGCTCTGGTTTATTAGTTGACATTGCAATTTAGGATCAAAATCCGTCTTTCGACCTTGGACAGAACCACTACGTATAATTTAGTGCCTCAACTTGCAATACGATGAGCAAGAGCTCAATTATTGATGTTTTTCATTTGCAAATTATACTTCCGGGACCTCATAATTAAACAACGAGTTGCGTTATGACAGCACTACAAATTTGAAATACCCCAATGCAAGTAGGATCAATAAAACTGGAACTCCAAGATTGAGACCAAAACATATAAAAATTCCTGTGTCACGTTGAAGAGAGATCCATGGCTAAGTCAATTGAGGTGCAAATTCCTGCCTGCTGGTCTCGACCTCAACCAAATCAGCGGCCCGGCGCTCAAATCCTGTTTGCTGACCGAGCAGGTGCGAGTTCGTGGGTCAGAGGGGAAATTGCGGCATCATCTCGGCTGCTAGCTTGTGTTCGCTAAAGATCCAAGAACAGTGAGCCGATTTAGGAAACTCCTGGCTGATTTGGGATTTGTCAGTGTTCATCAGCTATATGCACTTACGTGATAGCTGCTACTAAGGCAAAAGTAGCATTCACGTAAAAATAATAAAAAATTGATCTAAAAAAAATGTAGACAAACATTCTTGAGTTTTCTTCGCACATATAAATTTTATTGAAGAAATCACATTTGTGTACTTTGGGTAGAAAAAGTTGTTAGAGTTGTGTCGAATATTATTGTACAAGTTAGGTTACAGTTGGACTTGGAGTCGTACTGTGTGTAGACAGGGTAGGAGTTGTGTCCTAATAGGACACTTGTATCCTAGGCCTCTCATATATAGCGGGGTAGACACACGATGTAACATATGCCAACATAATAGCACGGGCACGCGAGGGAGCCGGCGGCGTGTGCCGGCGCCCGGGCGGCCGGGGTGCGGTATTGTGACAGTGTCACGGGGAGGAGCACCCGTAGTCATGCCCCGGGGATGTAGCCATATCGGTGAACCTCGTTAACAAATCTCGGTGTTGTGCTCGTGCGGTTGTTTGGTCCTCGGTAGATCAACGGAGTGCCTCGGATTTATTCTAACAAAAGCAAAACAGAAACCCCAAAATGCTTCAAAAGTGAGCTTTTTCAGAGTGTTGATTATGTTCTTATTTTTTTGCACTGACCTATGGAATGTTATTTCTTTTAAAAAATTACACGGAAGTAGAACATTCATTCATGTGTGTTGTGAAAATAATTCAGTTTTGTATGATTTTTTTACTTCCTCCAATCCAGATTATTTGTCGTTGTACAAGATTGTACTAAATCAACGACAAAATAATAGTTTAACTAAAAATTCTATATAGAATAGTGATCTTGTTAACTGATCCTTACAAATATTCGAGCAATGCAAATTATTAGATATGACGCCATGCAAATTACTATTGGAGAGATCTCTGCACGGAAATTACCATTCAACATAAGGGAATGGCTACATATATGAGTAGAACATAAAAGACCATTTTAAAAAAACTCACAGAGATATCATCCTCGTAGTGCTAGCAGTTGTGCTGCTACATTTCACGCCGTTCCATGCATATTTGGTTGGGAAACATGGATCACCCATCCAGTTTTTCGTTACTCCATACTTGTTAGGAGCTAGGGTTCTGCCAGTTCTAGGGTGAAGATTGTAGGGGAATGATGGAGGACGACGAGGGCGAGAGCGCAGCGGCCGGCGGCTGGGCGCCGTCCCTGCGCGATGGAGGCGGCAGCGGCTGTGGCAGGAAGGAGATGGCGCAGTGGAGGAGGGGGCTAGGGTTAGGTCTCCCGGCTCCCTAGGGAAGCCGAGCAATTATGATTGCTTCTTTGCTTAATCTCAAAACGGGTCCTTACATGAGTTTATATAATCCTCCTAATGATATAATTGGGCTAAGCCCCTAACACGATAAGATAACTGGGTCAGGCCCCTAACTGTCCGGGCTGTAATACATGCCGCTCATAACAATACTCAAGTTTGATACACATGATGGCGTCGACTACATTACAAAAAAGAGGAGGGAGGGGGTCCTGATTTTTTTTTTAATCATCCACATAAAAACAATGTTTCAGATGCTAAATGGAACTATGCAGGCTCTGATTCCTCAGGCTAATCTATCATCATATTACGAAAACAGGCGGTTAAAAGGAGCTCCTGCATATCAGGGTTATACTATCTAAATTAATCAAGCAGCATTAAAACATATAAATTGGTATAAGGCAAACGTATCTATATTTGACAGAGACATCTACATTATACGAAATATCTAGCTATGCAAATGGGAAAACTCTAGCACGGCCATCAGAAAAGGACAGGTTAAATGGGGAAATTTTCAATTCACTGCAGGTACTTCAGCATGTTTTTCTTGTGCTGCCGCTTCCTTAGTCCGACGTACTACGTGGTTTGGTGGAACCTGCTTTCCAGTTGAACAAAATTAAGTGTCATTTCGTCAAACATTTTGAGGGCAGCGAGGCAGCATGCTGCCAACTGTCAACACCGTCAAGGAGGCCCAAGCTCTGATGCATCAGGAGGGCAAGCCTGCTGCTTCAGACGCACTAGGCCGCCAAGCGGCACACTGTCACTGCCCGTCGCCGCCGCTTGCGCTCCTTGCCGGTTGGCTAGGCGCTTACATTGGATAAGCTAGGCGAGTCAGACGTCTTGATTTTTGCACGACGATACAATTAAGATGAAACATGGTGTAGATTGCAGGATTCATCACACATCTATAACCTTCTCTTCAAACTCAGAATAAACAGCACGACGATGCACACCTACACTACAGGGTACTTGGTGAGAAACTGAGAAGATTCATGCTGCGTCTACAATGTGATTGAGCGCTCATAACTAGTGACACGCACATGCAAAAAGAATCGGTTCTGTACGCACATCATCGCTCCACTGATGCGCAAATACTCAACTAAATAAATTAGTACTACTGTACTTAATAACCTCTGAGCGCCATATAGAGCCCGATGAAATCTCTGGCCTTGAATCGCCCATACTATCTTGGTTCAGTTATCTCTGAATCCGATAGCACCCCTTCACACGGCTCCTGTGTATCGCACTGGCTCTGGGATGGCTCCGGCACACGTAAGGTTGCACTCTTGCAGCTGAGCATCAGAAGAACATCCCACATGCCGGGCCGGTCTCCCGCATTGGGCCTGGAGCACCATACCGCGATCTGAATGCATCTCATTATCTCGGCCATTTTTGATTCACCATGCAATGCTGGATCTATCATGTGGTACATCTCCATTGATCCTGCCACTGTCGGCAATCTGAGAAGCTGCATCATCGTAAATACAAAAGGCAATTATTTTTATATTACTTGAGTACTCCTATTTATCAAATTCCGATATATGAACAAAGAACACATGTACTTACATCACCTGCATCCTTGAAAAGTGCATCGGGCCTCTTTGCAGTAATTATCTCAAGAAGAGTGATACCGAAGCTATACACGTCGCTCTTCACTGAGTAGATACGGTCAATAACATATCCAGGATCCATATAACCCCTAGAACCAAACAAATACGAAAATACATGAGGTGATGGAGCAAAGGCTTACTGTGAATTAGATAAGTTCATACCTTGTACCGAGTAAACTACCCTTGTGTCTTTCACGCCCATCCGGACTACACACTTTTGCAAAAGCAAAATCAGTAATCTTAGGAGTCATATAAGAATCTAAGAGAATCCTTTGTGGATTTAAATCCCCATGCATAATTTGTATCCCACAGCAATCATGTAGATAGGCCACCGCGCGGGCTATCCCTAAAATTATTTTGAAGCGCTCAGACCAGTTGAGCAACACCCTTGTTCCTGTGCCAGTGAGATACTTATGGTCACAATCGTGAGAGAACAAACTAAGTGAAAAAGGTCCACAATGAACTATAAGAACAGCTTAGAAGAGGCATACCAGTTACCGCGTCAGACAAACTCCCATTTGGTAGAGATTCATAGACTAAAAGTGCTTCTCCTCTTTCACTGCAACATCCAATGAGCTTAGCAACGTTTTTGCGTAGAAGCTTTGCATGAAAGCTGACTTAATTTTCAAATGTGAGTGAAGAATGGGAGTTATTTTGATGAAATCTTCTGATCATGACTTCAAGTCCACTGTCCAATCGTCCCTGCAAGCATCAACACTAGGTTTATCTACGACAATTTGTCGGTATGTGATTTAGTACTGCTGCAAAGATTTCCAAAAAAAAAGGGTGCATCTAGGTTGGATGTATGCCAAATAACCATTCGATTCTAGACATTTACATTTCGGCTCAATACAGCATTCAATTTTACATCCATGTTATGTAGAAATTCTTTAAGATTGTGCTCCTTTTGCAGATAACAAAACAAAAGGTGACATACATATGTACATATCTTAATCCATGTTAAAACTAATTACAAGTAAGAATTTCTCTGGTAGAAATATGTCTAAATTGGCATGTTAGAACCTTCATCCGGGGAATGGATATCTATCTTTAACAAGCAGCATGTAATCTTTCGCCTCTCAAAACTCAATATCAGAGCTATGCTGTTTAGGAAAAATTCAGAAAGAATAAAGTTTAATGTGTCGTATGCAAAGGTAAAGGTGTTCTGGATGCACCTTTTTTTGCATGCCATTATTAGACAGGGCTGATGAAACTTGATTTACATATGCCAAGACATGTCTTGTCAGATCTTTTATAAACTTGAGGCAGCTAAAGCAGAAGCAGAGGGACAGGGAATTTTTAATTAATGAACTGATCACTTCATGATGTTTGAATATATGAAAGTAAAGGAGAAAATGCGTGTCTGCTGATGTAATGCCCAAACAATTTTTTGCACTGGTAATTCGGTTATCTTAAAAGGGTAACAGCATCAGTAAAAAACACTCAAACTACCAGCGAATAAACCAGGGAAGTTTTGTTGTGAAAATTTAGTTATGATGCTTGTGTGTTATGCATTTAAAAGTGCAACAAGATTTGGACCATTAAGAATATACTTGCGAAGAATAATACAAAAGATAAAAAGGATTTTTTTTTTCCTCCTAGATCCAAAAAGGATTTTTTTTCAAAAGCACATTCATACTATGTACCTTATACACATCAGCGTATCCACAACTTCTAATTTTGCATTGGAATGCAAAATTATTTGTAGCAACCAACAATTGGGAGAAATGGAAACCTGAAAACCCTGCAGGGAATGCACCATGAGCTTTGCTTGTTTGTGATGCAGACTGTAGTTTCCTTTCAAAGTTGATGGGTTTTCCGAATGTTATAACTAATATGTCTAAATATTCATTTATTTATTCTATTATCTTCAGTATCCATTGATGTTCAGTTGGTGCTTGTAGCTAGTACCTGGTCCGTTGAGTTCATGAATACAAGGAGCTGTTTCTACCGTTTTCCAGGGCAAACAGTGACCCCACCGGAACCTCTGCTTCCTAGCAAAAGGTTCAGCAATTTCCTGGTAACCTGAATTAAAACTCAATTAAATATGTTATACACATGACTCATGAGCAATATCAGAAAAAGTAATCGGAATATACTTTGATTAAACCATGTCCAGGAAGAATCATACGGGACATGAAGTTGTACTTTGGAAAGTTAAGTAAACATTTGGCAAGGTTGAACTTATGCAAGTTACATGGCCCTATGGCAAGGAAATCAGCTCCCACTTATGGGTTAAGATCCCATCTCTCGGTTACGTAGTTTATCATTTAAATTAGGAAGAGCTATCAACTTGGGACTCAAGTCAATCAGAAGATCTAGGATTTATTACTTATATCGGATTGTTAAAGAGCAGCCCCTATGAGTAATAAATCCAGCAAGAATTAGGAGAGCAACTCTTCTATCTTGCCTTTGGGGTGATAGCCCTTCCCCTACCTCTCCCTAAAACCTAGTAGCACACAATACAATGCAATATATCAAATTCAAGATCCCAACTCCATAAACAGTTAACTGAAAGAATTACTTGTTAGCTGGTGTTCCTCAACTGCAATAGACTCAGCGCTCCTGCATGCCTGCGATTTTTCTAATTCAACAGGCCACAAACTACATTCAGTCCTGAAAATTCATGGTTAAGACATAAAAGTAACTATTTTATGTATATAACAAAATGTTTCGGAAATAATGTTGTGGCCACTTCTTGCAGTAACCAAGCAACAGATTAAGTATCTCTATTTCCTTGTGCTTGCTAACAACTCACCGAGCTTCAGAGTTTGAGTGTCTGGTAGATGATGTCAGCACTCCTCCTGCATCCTGGAACAACAAAACAAATTTCAAGCATACGAGACTAGTATTACGTGAAGACCCTTGGCTACAATCGAAAAGCCATGATGATGTTTACCAGTGAAGTACAAACTGACTATACCTGAGATGAGCACGTCGACAGCGTGCCGTTGCTTATTCTTTCGAGACGACAAGTTATGTCAGCATGGAAGATCATGGGGTAGAAGCGGAGGTGCTTGGCAATCTTCTTCTTCACGCGTCGGAACTGGTCAGTGTGTTTCCATCCCATGAATATGCGATATGTGGTGCTGCAGTCCTGGCAGGAGCTGACGAGGCTGTACGCCTCCCGAAGCGTCCCCTCCAGTCCATTGAGTGCATTTACAATCTCTTCTCGCTGCATAATTTCTGGGTTTTGCAGCATCCATAGCAGGCCATTTATCAACTGCACATCCTGCACGAGCTCCTGGCAGGTCTCCTTGTTGCGCTGAACTGTCTGTGCTGCCTGTACAATCGTCGAGATGAGCCCCAACGCATCCACTCCCACCAGCTGCGTGATAGTCGCTGCCTGCTCTATGCCGTTCCACTGCGCCATATCTGCACCACCTCTCTCCTTCTCTGAGTGAAAACGGTAGAAAGGGAAACCACTGTATTACGAAAGTAAATTCCAAGAAAGATCACTGAAAGACAAAAAAAGTTGATCAAAACTGTCGAACCATTCGAGGTTGGAAGGTAAGTAATTTTTTTCCCGTTTTGTCTAAGTATAAGGATAATAATGCAAACTCACTTCTGAACAGGATCTATTTGCCTATTGCCAGAAAAAAATACTTTGAATGTGTTGCCAGTAGCCAGATGCTTTTAGTTGACTGATTAACCTTATTCATTTGGCGGTCGGGACCAGATTCAACACGGACGAAATACCAACCAATATTCAGAACAAAAACTTTATTTGGTTATGAGTAAGAAGTAAGAACACATGGAGGTTCAAAACACAGTTCAAAGGAAGGAGATAGGAAGTACTCCCTCCGTCCCAAAAGTTGAGTCACTTATTTTGGGACGGAGGGAGTAGGAGCATACCTTGGGATTGAACCAGAGTAGATTGCCTGTCAGCTGTTTAACTGCGAGCAGCACACGAGAAACTGTCTGCCTCGATCTTGTCCTGAAGTAGCGGTAGAGGTGGGGAGCGCAGATGGCCACGCAGTACATTGTTCTGTTGGACATGGGAGGCCATGGTGTTGTCCATTCTGCTTGATCTTGACTGCAATGAACGCGTGTACTGCTAGACTAGTTGCATGAGAGGCTGACTGCAGAAGCGCAGACGCAGAGAAAACGCGCAAGCGGCAGAGGCAGTATCCGTATCGCGAAACTCGTCGAAGGTGAGTGAAGACAATGCTTAGATAGAGACGAGACGACGAATGCTTGACCTTGACCTTGACGAGACGACGAGTGCTCGCCGTAGTCGCGTGGTGCTTGCACGCTCAGGGCTCACGGTCTCAAGGAAATGGGGAGGACGCGGTTAGATAGAGACCAGGGAGGTGTAATCTCTGCGCCTGCCGCTCATGGCGCTCCAAGCACAATGGCCGGGCCAGGCGTCAAGCAGCACGGCATTTCCGCGAGCACCTGGAGCGCAGCGGAGGAGCAGGAGAAGGAGGGGCGCAAGCGCAACTCGCTCCGCCGGAGCTCTGCCTGCTCGGCGCGCGGACCTTCCACCGGGCGTGCACCAGCCGCCTCCCCTCCACGCATCATCATCCAGCGCGCGTTTCGATCGGTGGAGCTCGGCCGAGCGCACGAGCGTGTTTTTTTTTTAGAAAAGAGGAGCCTGCTTGCTCGGGCGCATCGCTCGTGGCGAGTCGCACGCCCCGGACAGAAATCACATATTTGACCTCAGGGTGAAATCAAATCATGATCTAACCTGGTCTTGAAAAAATTCACATAACAGACCGTTTTGGGTGGTGCCCTATAGCCGGGCGCTACACTGCACTATGCAGCATACCTGGCCAAACGGGCCGGCCCGGCCCGGCACGGCTCGGCCCATCATAATCGTGCCTGGCCCGGCATGGCCCGCCAGGGCACGATTACTATACGGGCCGTGCCATGCTGGCCCGCGTGCTGCGCCCCCAGGCCCAGGCACGGCCCAGTTAGTAAACGGGCCGGCACGTTGGCCCGTTTAGCACGGTGGGCTGCATATTTTTAGCCTGTTATTTGACGCAGTGAACGCTTTTTAGCCTATTTGTACATATTGGGCCATATATAAATGTATAAAAAAAATAAAAAAAATAATCGGGCCGTGCCGTGCCGGCCTGCGTGCCCAGCCTCCAGGCCCAGGCACGACCCAGGGCGTGCCGTGTGCCTAGCCCGGCTTGTTTATCCCGTGTCGTGCCTGGCCCAAGGCGGGCCGTGCCGGCGTGCTCACGGGCCGGCCCAAAAAACCCGGCCCATTTGGCCAGCTATACTATGCAGTGCCTTTGCCTAAGGCGTTGCAGGCCCGGCCAGCGTGGCAGCCCGGGGCCAGGTGCGGCTCCACAGCCAGCTGTGCAGCGCCTAAGAGCTAGACGCCACATTTGTAATGTGCAGCGCCTAAGAGCTAGGCGCCACATTTGTAATGTGCAGCGCCTAGCTCTTAGGCGTTGCACAGTTTGTTTGTCACTTAGGCTGGCCCCACCCTCTCTCCCCTCCCACCCCACCCACACACCCCCACCCCACCCAATCCCTAAGCCTTGCGGCCCTCCTCTCTTCCCCCCCCTCCTCTCAAATCCTTCTCAAATCTTGCAAATCCGGAGTATTTGACAGTGGATTTCGAAGCCAACCCCTCCCGTATGGTAATCTTTTTCGATCCCCTCGTTTTCATCTATAGAAATTGTCACATTTGCTCAAATCTTGCTAGTTTGGGGAAACCCTAGTTTTGGCTTGAATTTGGAAATTTGTGTTGATGTTGGTGTTAGGGTTATGGTTAGGCTTCATACTATGCTAGGGTTAGGGTTATGTGTGTTCGATGTTGGTGTTAGGGTTATGCTATGGTTAGGGTTGTGGTTATTGTTAAGTGGGGGTTAGGCTTATTGTTTCATATATATGTTAGGGCTTACATATTTTGTGCAAATATTTTGTTAAGTCCTTACTTGATATATGTGTGTTTTTGATTATTGTAGGGATGGAAAGAACATGTGTTTATGTTCATCATGTGGATAAAGAGGCCTTTTTGAAAGGCAATGTTGAGCCGGACCCGGATGAGCTTGACATGGTGTTTGAGAGTAGTCCTAGTTATGCGGATGTCTTGGAACAAGTGAGGAAGGATTTGAATTGGATGGACCCAAGTGACGTTGTTGAGTTCGAGGGAAGGCATAATATTGATTTTGGAATGCACATCCATTGGAAGACAATGCGTGTGAACTCGGAGCAATGTTGGGTTGCATACAAGAAGACGGTTGCGGAATCTCTAGACAAGGCTCTTGAGTTATTTGCCTCCAAGAGGGTTGAGTCTAGTTTGCATTTGGATTTGAAACCGGAACCCCTCCCCGTTGGTTGCTAGTACTCCCCCACCCATGAACCAAGATCAAGTTAGTGAACCTCATTTGACGCAACAAGTTTGGGCAACATTGAGCCCGGTTTCAAACAACCAAAATGAAGCTTTTGAAGAGGACAATTATGAGTGCAAGGAGGATGACAACGAAGTTGATCTCCATGACAACAATGTGGGTGATCTCGAGTAATATCATGTGCAAGAGACAATGGACCAATCCATCCCTTTTTCTCGTGCATATGCATCGGACTCCGATGACGATGGTCCCGATGAAGAAGTTGATGAGGAGGGGTTCATGCCCAATGAGGCCGAAGCATTTAAGAAGGTATTCGGGTGGGATCATAAGACACCATTGTTCAAGGATCTTAGTCTCGTAGATGAAGCCGTTGTAGATGGTGGCAAATGTATATCTCTTGGAGCTAGGCCAAATTCTCACCGTGATTTGGAAGACGGCAAGAACGGGATATATCCCGGTTGTGAGTTTCAATCCTTCTTGGAATTGAAGATGTGGCTCGACAACTACTCGGTTACGCATTATCGTCCACATAAAAGCGGCCAAATCGGACGTCAAAGTGCGTTACACGCTTAAATGTAAAGTGCCAAGATGTCCATGGATTGTGCGTGCAAGGCCATGGAAAGGAGGTCCCACTTGGCGCATAGTGAGTTGTACGCCAAGTCACATGTGCCGACATAAGAATGCGGATGGCGAGCTTGTGTACCAACAACACAGACAACTCACGTCCGAGTTCATTTCTTATAGGTTATCCAACCAAATATCCACACTTCCAATAATGAGCATCAAGAGTGTCATTGACCTTGTGAAAGCCATCTTTCATTACAAGGTGAAGTACGGCAAGGCTTGGAAGGCGAAGCAAGCCGCATTCAAGATGTTGTATGGCAATTGGGAGGAAGCATACAACCGACTCCCTAGGTTGTTGTTAGTTATGGCCGCCACAAACCCAGGCATGGTTCACGTGGTTGAGCCTCATGGGCACCAAAAATTGATTCACAACGGGAGGACCGTCCGAATATTTGGTCGTGCATTTTGGGCCTTTGAGCTATGCGTGATGGCTTTTGAGCATTGTCGGCCCATCATCGCCATTGATGGCACGTTCTTGATGGGACAATACAAGGGCACTTTATTGGTTGCAATAGCAAGTGATGCCAATAACCGGGTGTTGCCTTTGGCTTTCGCTTTGGTTGAGGTGGAGAACAATGATAACTAGGAGTGGTTCTTGCGTTAACCGAGAACAAGGGTATTACCGGCTGAAAGGGAAATTTGTGTCATATCGGATCGCCATCAAGGAATTCTAAATGCGGTGGTGGTTGACATTCCCGGACATACAAAGTTGCACCATCGATGGTGCATGAGGCACTTTTGTGCAAACTTCTATAGGGCATGTGGTATCAAGGAGTTGGTTGATGATCTTCAAGATTGTTGTCTTGCTTTCACCAACAAGCGGTTTGCCACATTGTTCAGTGCATTACTCAGATACAAGAAACTTGACCCCGTGGTCTTGAATTTCTCAATAGAAACATTGTCGAAAGGAATATGTGGGCACGTGTTTTCGATGAAGATGGCTGGAGGTACGGTCAAATGACAAGCAATATAGCAGAATGATTCAATAAGGTGCTCGAGGGTGTACGTGCACCCGTGATGGCAATAGTTCAATACACATTTGACAAGATGAATGCATACTCTTTAAAGTACTCAATGGAGACGGATAAGCAGATTGCTGGTGAGAACAAGGAAAAGCACAAGTACTATTTCCCACTAAAGGTTGAAGAATGGTTGGAATTTCAATCACGAAAGGCAGACTCCCAAGAAGATGTACTATATGACGACAACGATTGGATGTTTGAAGTGAAAGAGCCTGGAGGAACCACAAACGATGGCCACCAACACTGACTTAGCATTTTTTTTGGTGGCAAAAGCTACTGGAAATGCTTCTGTTGCTCTCTGGACTGGCATGTCCAGATGTGCAGCGCCTAAGGGCTGGGCGCTGCACTGTCCAGTGTGACGCCTAGCCCTTAGGCGCTTCACATCTGGACATGCCAGTCCAGAGAGCAACAGAAGCGTTTCCAATAGAATATGCAGTAGTGCAGCGCCCATGGTCTAAGATCCATACTTTAATGTGCAGCGCCTAGCTCTTAGGCGCTGCACATATGGACTCTTAGGCTGTCCCCACCCCCCTCCCACCCATCCCCACCCCACACACCCCCACCCCCTGATACGTCTCCAACGTATC